TTAAGACTCAGGGTATGTTAGCATGAACTGCCTTGACTTAATTCTGGTTCTTTCATGAATGATATATTTTCTGCTTTTATTCCAGTAGCTAAATTTCAATTGAAAGTATATTTCACTTTGTTTAGTGAAATAGGTATGCAGCATGCTGTAAATATTTAAGAAATTATTCTTTACTATTCTCATCTTACAGCTGAAAAAGGTCACTGCCAAGAATTATTTGCAAATCAGAGTTCCTGGTTTCTGCATGTGCCCTTCTTTGGGATGCTGGTGTGACCCAACTCTGTGCAACTTAGAGCTCTGTCCCCATAGAGGGACTTAAAATAATGGCCTACACCCAATGGCTGCTTTGCAAAATTCTGGTGATGAAAAGCAGCTGTGAATCAACTTAATCAACCAGTTAAATGCTGTTTATAAGTGTCTCAGCTTTCTGGGACAGCACAGGGTAGCTGGAGTAAATCGAAGGAGAGGCCCAGGGTTGCCAGTCTGAAGCAAAGGAAGGGGGACTGCACCATTTCCTTCTCTTTCACTGACAAGTAACACAAAATCTGGTGTAAACAGGGCTGGGGGGATGCAGCATCTGGCATGGCACGATTCTGTCTGCCACACTCAGCTCTGCCTTCACAGCCAGGAACAGCTCAGTCAACAGCAGTCACTTCAGAGGTTTCCCTCAGAGGGAGATTTATTCTTGGCACCCCAACCTGAGTGCTCTTAGCGCAGGAAGGCTTGTACCATTTCCAAGATTTCTGCTGGCTGAATTTACAGTTGGCTGGAGGATACAGGGGAAGTTTCTGTTCAGCTTATATGGTTTTCGCCATCGTGTCGTTAGCTCCTTTCAAAATAACAGCTTGCCTTCTTGACAGGAACGAATAAACTGGCAAGGCAATTCTTTCTTTGTTAATCTCTAGCTGGTCTCCAGCAACACTGGAAAATGAGCTGTCTCTAGCTCCATTTGGGGCTCCTTGGCCTGTGTGTGCTGAGCCACAACAGCCCCTCTGCAGGGAGATGACTAGCATTCTCCAGAGGGCCAGGTGGTTACCAAATGGCACCAAACATTATTCCTTACTTCTGGAGCCCTGGATAGCTCAGCAGGCATGGTATTCTCTGCTTTAACCATTTCCTCATAGCTCAGACATCTCTAGGTGGAAAGCACAGCACAGGACACATCCATGCACAGGAAATACCCATATACAGGTAAATATCATTAATCTTTCTAATCCTTAGAAAACTTGCAAAGGGAAGAAAACTTGTAAGCTCTTTTTCGTCCCATATATGTGAAGGAGGCACCTGGATTTGTTGCTATAATAATAAAAGGGATCTTTCTATTCTGTGGCAAAAGGTTTGCCTCTCCAAAGAACACAGTCTTAGGAAAAATTTTTGTGCTCACTGCTTTGGGTACCTTAGAATAATTATTTTCAGTAATAACCTCAGTTAAAAAATAATTTTTCCTACAGGTAATTAAATTGAAAGTGTTTAAGACTGGCAACCTGACAAATAGATCTGTATAATATAATCCATTAATATTTTTAATCTATATCCTTTACTACATCTCGTTCCCCCAAAAAAAGTCCTTTAGCTAGGATACTTGTTGTGTCAGGTATAGAGTAAACAGCACTCTGCAACATGAATGTCGTGCTGAAAATAATAGAAAAAAATATTATTTTAATGTTTCTTGGGTGTAAACACAGACATGTAGCTAGTAGTTTAGTTCCAATCCTTGCTCTTAAGCTCAAAGGCTACAAACACATTGCAGGTGTTTTATACTTTTTATATTTTGTTTGCTGACACTACAAGCAAAGAAACTTGATGATACAAAGTCCAGCGTCTTTTGAAGATTATAATAGGTAATATATTTCAGAGTATTGGTGTGAAAAGGAGTTATAATGAAAAGAGTTCAATTAAAGTGGGGCTATTAGCATGAGTTCAGCTGAAAAAAGGAAAAGGAATAAAGAAGAGTCTATACAGAGAAGGAGGAGTAGAACCCTAGAGGAAGAAGAACTTTTGAAGGAGGAAATGGCTTAATTTTTACCCAGAATTAAGGGGGGGGGGGGGTATAAAAGCTCTTCAAAGGGCTCAACCAGAATCTCATTGTGAGCAGTGAAAGGACCTTAGTCTTGGTGAGCTTTAACCTATGAGAAAATTTGGCTTTCAAGACTACTATAAGAATAATATTTTTCTATCATATCACAACACACAGCAGTGAGGAAATGTTCGCAGCGTTCATGTGAGGACCATGGCATGTTCCATTGCTCTGTTTATTTCTGGGGTCTGTGCCATTTTAAGCAAAGCCTTACAAATATTACATTTTTTTTTTCCCAAATATTGAATCAAATAATGACATTTATTGGGCTGATATCATAGGCAAAACTGTACGCAATACAGCTTTTACTGAGGTCTTATTATACAAAAAGCCTGAAAGGATGCCCTGAACATCATGTTCTAAGTTGTCAGCTTGGAAAGAACCTATAAATTGCATGGTTTTAGGGGCCTTTGAAACACAGACAGGGAGAGCAGATACTGGAAAAAGGACTACTGCAAGGAGCCAAGGAACAGCATCTATCCAAATGGTTGTGAACCCAAGATTGAACAAATGCCTTTTTTTTATTCCTTCCCCACACTGCATGTTTCTGTACAAGCTAGAAAACTATCCTTTTTATCAACTCTCATTTACCTTAGACAAAAAAAATGGCCATTTTTTAATCTGGCCTTTTTTTTTTTTCCCTAAAATCCTTTGGGAAAAAAAAAATCTATGGCTCTATATAATGTTGGATGTGATGAAATCCCTTGGCCTAAACTGTCTCGAATGTGGAGCTTAGCAAACATTCAGGTCCATTTATAAGGCCAGCATATGAGGCTGTTCGTTTATCAGGCATTCAAATCAGCAGTAATGAAGCTGATAGAGTGCTAAGAATACACAAATGCTGTTTGCTCTGTAAAGCTGTATCTGGAATCCAATAATGAGTCCTGAGACACAGGACACTCTATCACTATAGAGTAATTATTTGTTGACTGCTGAGCCAGCTGTGTTGAATTTGCTTCTTGGAGTGTTCAGAATGCCAAAGCATCTTTAAATCTCAGTCTTTAGATTTGATTAGACATTTAAATGACAGCACATTTTTTATTACTTACACTGTGCTAGTCTCCTGATGCTAAAAGCAAATTCTTGTTGAGATGGTACAGAACAAGGTAAGCTGGAAAGGAGAGTGAATAGAAGAACTTTTGTTGACTATTTACTTGTCTTTAAAATGCTCTCAGAGATAGGAACGGCAATACCTACAAGCTGTTGGTGTCTTGGGACTGTGAAGACTGATTCTGCCCATGTGGAAACAGAAGAGGACACACATCAATGTTAAAGAAAGGCAAGTACTGCATGGAAAGAAAAGCTCCCATGTATGCAGGTAGCTCCATGTATGCATGAATATCTGGGACCTACTCTGTGTCTCTGTGTAATTGTACTTGGGCTCAGAGCACATGGAGTCACTTGGGGTGTGGGAGAAGGGCTCATCTAGCCACTTGCAGTGAAAAGGGTAAAGAAGCACCAGCCTCCTGAGACCTAGCCCATTGCTTTGGGCAAAAGCCACAATGCCACAACCTGGTTTTTTATGGCCTTCACAACAGAATTACATTTGCTGATTTCATTCTGGAGGCAACAATTAATTCCAGAGGCAACAATAATCTGGTAGCATTGGGAGCCAGACCAGTGTTAGCAGCCCCTCCTCTACAGGGAACATTTTTCACTGGTCACCTCTGGGCTTCTGTGGCTGCTTGGAGGAGGCTGTGCCTGAGACTGCTCAGTCCTGTGAGGAACTGCCTGCCTTCTGTATCCTGCATTTACTTAAAGGGAAACCTTAGAAAGGTCTTGCCACCAGAAGGCAGACCTTAGAAAAAGCAGTACCTCCCAATAGAGCCACTGGGAAAAAAGTGATCTAACAGACATTTGAAAGTCAAGGGAGAAGTGTCAGACCCCCGGAGTTCTCACATCTGACATCCAAAAAATCTTGTTTTGCCACTGCTCAGAGTCAAGGCATCAAAACCTTAAGTGCTGAACCCTGCAGGAGAGGGCAAAAAAGAGTCAGTGAAGATCAGCAAAAGACAACTGAGCAGGATGGACAGAGGATCAGACCTGGAAAAGCTTTCTCAGAGTGTAAAACTCTATAAATGTCCATCTGTTTTGGAGCCTTATCCAAACATTTCCTACAGCATGTGGGAGTGCTTGAAAAGTCAGCTTCTGTCCCAGACTGGTCTGAGTGCTGAGCAGGTAACTATCAATAGCAGCACACCTCAGAACCAGCCAGTATGGAAATCCTGGAGTGAGGTCATCTTATCCACTCACACTTCATAAAGCCTTGCAGCAACCTACCTAGCTGGGAAATCAAAATATGGGTTTAACTATCCAGAATCTGTCTATGAAGGTCAGTATTTGTGGCATTTAATTTTCAATTATTATCCCAAAGAACTGAAGAGGACCTATGTTTTCTTGTTAAAACCCATCTGGAAAAACAATCGGTAAGAAAGCAGCAATAACACTGCTCAGATGCTGACTGCAGGAAAAAGGAGCATACTGTAGGTGTCAGGCAGGTTATTTCACTGCAAGTACAAGCCAAGAAACTGGGAGAGAGCTGTGTGCACCACCCTGTGGTGCAGCCCCAGAAGCCTGCAGAGATAGATGGAGAATTTATTTTTTTTTTTCATATTTTGTTGGTTTTTTTTCGCAGTGTAATAAAATAAAAAAATCCATTTACACTTCACTCCCCTTTTTCCATCAGACATTTCTGATTTACTTTGTATTCCTAGGAGAAAACAAATCTTTTTAGTCTCTTTTTTTTAATAATGAATAAAAGTAACCCTGATCAGCTACAATACCTGAGGCTCCAATTTTTTTCTTGAACTTCTTTAGAAAGTTTAGAGAATTGTTTTTCAGATTCCTTCCTTTAAAAAAAAAAAAGAAAAAGAAAAAGAAAAACATTTTTTTAATGCACATCCTTAAGGGGCCAACCAACAAATTTTTAAGATGTTGCAACACACTTTATTTTGTTGGGCATTTTAGATATTCAATTAAATAGCACTATGTTAAACTACATTTTGTTCTTTCTTACACGCTATATGATGCATATTCACTGTCGTGACAGTTTCATCATGCTAGGAACTTATACACATAACTACACTTTTAAAACCAAGATTCTCTTAATAAAACACACATATCTACAGTAACAACAATTGCAAAGAACACATTGTTAGGTCAAGAATTCAGCAAACTTTACAAACTACACAAAATAAAAAGGAAAAAAAAAATAACAATACATAGTGAAGTTCTTGGCAGAGAACACATCTTTACATTTGGTGAAGTTATGCCTAGAAGTCATTTTACTTTTGCATTTTTTTAAGGAATAAAATTATATACATTATTTAGAAATCCTTAAAATAGGAAGTATTAAATAGCACAAATAATATTATAGTCTTAAGTTTTGGTGTTACCTACAGTAGAGGGGCTATTTTAAACAAAAATTGCAGTTTGTCTTTTCTGTACATTTAAGGCCAAACACCCAGCTGGTGTCAACCCCAGTAGCTATAAGGACAGTAAGGAAGTTACATTAGTAACTTCAGTTTACACCAGCTGAGCATCTGGCTCCTGACTTCTCTATACATGCAGGAAGGCTTCTAAAGCATGGAGGCTTGGACCAGTTATGCACTGACAGAAGCTTATTGTATTCATATACTGGAGTTCTCATGCAGCAGGAAAAATGTTAGTTTAAGTATAATCCCTTAAACAGTCATACCATAATAATGGTATATGAAGCAGCTTTAAAAATATTATTTTATAATCATACGAAACTCTGAGCTATGCTGATTTTTTTAATGGAATCCCTTATTGCCAATATTCTATTGGAAAAGTGTAACTGTAATTTCTGAGGCCTAATGGGGGCCTATTAAAATATCACTGTACCTAACCACTTACAGAGCAATTTGTACCCTTAAATACCTATTAATCACTGTATTCCATCTGGAAGCAATTCTGATGCTCACAACAGACATTAGTATCACACTAACTCCACAGTGAATCTGCTGGAGAGACAGGGAAAGCATGGCAGCATAGAGAGAATATGCACTACTGTCATCCCAGGAGGTAGTTCTGTTCCATGCCACTCAACTTTTGGTTTGTCACTTACACACTTCAGAAGTCAGTCATATTCAGGGGAAAAAAAATAAAAAATAAAAACCCCCAGATTCCTCCAGAATCTACTTTGCCAGCTCTTGGAGCCAAATTCCATCTCATGGAGGTCAGTTTCCATAAGAAGGACCTTAGTTATCAATGGCTAAATATTGCAGAAATACACATTTAGGCCCTGAGTGAGTGAGGAGATCACTTAACTAGATGGCAAAATAAGAGCAGGCTGGCCCTGCCATGCAAGCAGTAACCACTCAAGTTCAAAGAGCTCCTGCCAGCATCAAAGGGACTTAGAAACTGTTTAAAGGGTGTGATTAGGGCTCATTTCCCAGCTATCCTTCATGAGGTGGTGATAAAGTGACAATCCAACTAAAGGCAGGTAAATACCAGTGTTACCTCCATTGCACTAGACTGAATTCACACAAACCCAGAAGTGTTTCCCCATGCCCTGTTGAGTTCATCCCAGAGTATTCTATTAAAAGCAGGATTTTAACAACATAGCTCAGTTTTGAGCTGAACATCAGTTAATATTTTTGTATAATGTCATAAATAATTGTGATTTTTCTAAGGTACTAATACATTTTTAATCCCTGTTACTGTTTTGAACAGACTCAGTGGCTTACAGAACACTCTTACATTAAAAGTAAAAGGATTGATGATCTGTCCCTCTTTTTGGCATTTGTGTTGATTAAAAAAAAAAAAAAAAGTGATTGCTTTTCCTAGCATAGCTTTGTGCACACTCACACAATTTTCAACAAAACTTGCTTCATTAACCTGACAGCTGCTTCTTAAACAAAAGATTTCTGTTTGAACATGCCTCTCAAGTTATAGGTTTTGGTTTTTGACCCAAACCCATTTTTCAGTTTTATTTTTCCCTCATTCATTTTTTTTTCTTTTCTTTTCCTGATCTGCTTTTCAGCAGCGAACTGAAAGTAGGAGCAAATTTGGAAAATAACCTGGAAAAGAATAAGGGTACAAAGACTGGAAAATGGGAATGGTTTAATTAGAAAATTCTAGTTAAAATATTTGCAACTTTGAGAAAAAAGTTGAAAAAATAGTGTTTTAAAATTTTTAAAGACACTTATGACTTGTTTCCACATTGCAGACCAGCTCCAATCTAATCATGGAACAGAATAAAGATAATCTATATTTTTCATTTATGAACAAGCACTATACAGTATATCTACATTCTGTCCACTGAAAAGAAATTGGAGTGTAATCCTTTGAAAAGTAGCTAAAATACCTAAGTCACTTAGGTGTTTTTCAAAATTGTATGTATAATGAACATTCTCATGTTACCTTTGTGCCTCTTATAAAGCTATGTAGTGTTATAGGACACCCTATTTTAATAAAAATCAATATGATGAGCAGAGATATTTTAAGTTACATTCCAGAACTCATTAATTTATTACAACTCATACTATGCACAATAATCAGTGCTTACTCTGATAAAGTATAAATTCTTTGTTTTCCTTCTGTTTGTTCCTTCATTTGACCTCTGAGCAAATGAAACATTTCTACTACACTTTACTTGCTTCCTGTCATGCATTGACATGATTTGATCGATGAGTGAAAGCTGTAAACCCAATACTGAGCAGCAAACAAGAAGAAACTCATGCTCTTAAAGGCAGTGCAAGGAAATCTTAGTACCATCCTACTCTGAGGACGCATCTTAACCCATATTCTTTCACCACCAGACTAATTGGTACGGTTCCAGACTTGCAAGACAATGCACTGATTTTGTAAAAAATTCTATTCAGCTGTAATTAAATACTGTTGTTAAGATGAATCTGGTTTAAGATGCATACCCAGTGCTGCTTCTAGGACAGAGCCCAGCCTAGAGTCACCAAGCATCCAGGAAAGAAAATGCTCTGAGTTATTTTCTTTAGTTAGGTTACACTGCATTTTATCGGGAGACAGATCTTTTATGAGGTGTGCTGGATTTTAATTTAATTTTTTATCAGATTTGCACAAATTTGTTCTCAATAGACAAATATAAGCCCCCTACACTGAGGACAAAAATATCTATTACTATAAAATAAAATTAAGATCCAGGTAATTGATTCCTTCTATTTCTACTTTTTCTGCTATTGATAAGAGCCTTCAGTTTGCTGTAGTCCCCTCTCATCTTCTGGGACTCTTCCCTGTGCTGCCCTGCCTGCCTGCTGTCTTTGCAGTACTGGTTAATCATCTGCATCTCGGAGTGGCTGAAAGCCCCCACAAAGTCCTTGGGGTGGAACTGCAGCGCTCGCACCGAGCTGGCCCAACTCCAAGGGGACCACTTGTCAGTCATGACAGCCACCATCTCTGCATCCAAGACTTTGAAATTGATCTTTGCCAAGGTCTGCTTGAAGCTGTTCTCTGTTGCGATGCAGTGGTAAAGGCCCCGGTCGCTGTCCTGCACAGAGCGGATCAGGAGCCCGTGCTCAGTGGCTATGATCCTCTCGTTCAGCTTGACCTAGAGAGAAAAAAGGCAGAAGGAACCTTTTAGGGAAGGTTATGGAGCAACAGAGTATTGGACCTTCTGGGAAGCTTCACTTCAAACATAGCTTTCTTAAAGTCACTACATTTTTATATAATTATCTTCAAGACACCACCAATATTGCTACCGTTAGGAGAGACCTTATCTCAAGGAAGGCAAGAGCTGCTAAAGAAAATGACTTGAATATTTTTATTTCTTAGTTAGAATAAATATGATCAGGATGTAGACAAAGATGAAAATCCAGAAACCACATGAAATAGAAGTTTTCATAATGTTCAAATAGCAGAGTTGAAGAAATGAACTTTTATTTGCCCTGCTGTACTCCTGAGAATGTCTCTTTCAGCATCAAGAGATTGTTGCTGAGACTCAGTGGAAGAAAGGTGCAGGACCAGGGAGGCTAATTTGTCACTGAACTCAAGGTGGCTTCTCATTAAATATTTTGACTTTGAGCAGGTTCCTGCTGAGGAACTCTATCTGCTCTGCAGAGTCTCTAGCCTTGTATAAAATTATCACCACAGTGGTCTCAAGTGGGACTTGGCTCAGCGTGAACCAGGAGCACAGGTACTCTCCTATTTCCTTTCTGCCTTCAGACTCTGCACTGTCCCAGGAGATGGTCACATCATCTGAAAGAAGCAAGCTACCAGAGCTTGTTATCATCCAACTATAAATGAATGTGCAGATGTCCCTTAGCATATCAGTATGAAGTAAGAATTGGTAGTTCAATCCGTTATGAGAGGAAATCACTGCTGGTATTTTTCTGAATGGTTTTTCTATTTTGTTACTCAACTTTGCATTATATTCTGTTCTCCGGGGAACTAATTTACTTATTATGGTATTCTGCTATTGTAAACTTTTGTAGACTTTGTGGAAGATTTCCAGAAATCTGAGAGCTTGAAAACTAATTAACACTTTGATTGTTTTATTCTGCGTGTTGTACCTTGAAAGTGCATTGATTCAAATGCAGTTACTGAACATGAGAAGAAAAAAGGGAGATGTTCTGCTGAAGTAATGAGTTAAAGAATTGCACCTATTGCCAGGACATGGCTTGAGTCTTTGAATAGTTAGAAAACTCCATGAGACATTTGCAAGTCCCCTCTGTTTGTTTTTTTTAAATGGACTGATAGGAGAATAATACTTTACAGTATTTTTAATATATCAACAGACACCACATTACTTAAAAGTCCCCTTTGAAAGATGTTTCTTTTTATCCATATAGTAAGTGCCTTGGATTTGAAATGGATTTTTTCCCCTTTTACATTACTTAAGGAAGGCACATTCCCCATAAACAATCATACACTATATTACAGTGCTGAAACTTGAGAGCCTTAGAGAGTGCAGTAATGGAAAATGTGATTGCACCATGGTGAGGAAATGCTTTTGTCAATACGTGTTCTTAGACTGGACTGGCTTCTTGCTAAAGAAATCTTTCACTTTTCTCCCACTTTTGCCTTTTATCTCTTCAATAGCACAGAGGAGCTACTGCATGCTGACATCTCCCTGAACTTTATACAAGTTATTGTTTTTGTGCCTATTTCCTTAGATCAATAAGAAGTTCTGAGTGCTGCAAACCTTCAGTTTGCAATTTGTAAAGTGTGAAGCAAAGATTCTTTAATTTTCTGGTTGCTGTTCTGATCTGACAGACCTCAGTGGGACTGAGGCTGAAGTCCCAGCTGTACTGAGCCTGCTCTTCTAAGTTTGAGTAAATGATGGGCACGGTCCTGCACCCACACAAATTCTCCAGCTTCACTGTAGCCAGACTGCCTGACAAAAACACAACCTGTCCCTTGCCTTTGTCTGGGGAGGGAATGTGATGCTGACTGAGGATTCTCCCAGAGCTCCTGCTCACATTACTCACCTCTTTCCTCCTGTCATTGTCTTTCTGTAGCAGCCATTTAATAGAAGCCTGAGGAGATTTAGGTGTGCATTCCAGAAAGGTGGTGTTGTTTTTTACTCCATACTGAACTATTTCTGCAGCATTTCTGTATGCTAGAAAGAAAGAAAGCAAAAAAATAAAACAACAAACAGGTCAGGATACTGTGAATGGTGATTTGATTAGGAAAACATGTAACTCTTTGCAATATAGATTAAATGAAGTATGCCTGATTCTGATATTGGCCAAAAATAAAAAAAAAAATGGGGAAAAATTTTCAAAGAAATGAAATTAAAATAAATGAGAAGCACATTCAGTTTCAAATGCCAGTGTTTTCAGAGTGACATACATAGTCTGTTCTGAGAAATTAGGGTACCTATAGGCTATACTGGTTATACCGGATAACTAAGCTCAGGGATATTTTTCTATGAAATTATCTCATTCTTTACTACTCCAAAAGAGAATGAAGCATTTAATATATTTCTTCACACTTCACCATTTATGAGTTGGGGGAATATGACCAAAATAAAGCATCATGCCCTAAAGAAGGCTCCAGCATCCCAGGGAGGAGAGAGGGCAGGCTGGGCTCCCGCTCCTCTGCTTCCCATCCAACACAAGGACGGGACTTGGCTCTCAACCTGAAATGTTATGAATATGCAGACAAGCCAGCAACAGAGAGAAAGATAGATTTATAGCCCTCCAGCAACACCTGGGCAAGTGCTGAGCATATGTCATCTCTTAGACTTGTTGTGTCCCTTTATAGCCTCGATGGATGGATAATTGGCAGTTACCAGTAGGAACTTCTGGATGCTTATTGCTCGGTCAAAATTGTAATGTTTGTCCTGAAAACAAACACCTCCAGATTTACAATCTTGCCTCACATATGAAATACAATTTTTCCTTTTTTTTTTTGAGAAAGGAGCAATGGATACAAAGTAATATGAGAACTGCAAATACCTAGAGGTTTGCATGTCTAAAACCCGACTCCGTTTCTGCAAAGTCCTAAGACTGGTTTTCCTCAGACTCTACTTTATCTCCCATTCTTTTCAGCTTCTTTCATTAACTGATATGTGAAATTGAAATCCATTCTTCTGAAGGAAGGAGACTTTGACTGGTTCTAGTCCTTCAGCACATTTAGGAGTTGTACCAAAACCAATTCTAACTTTTAGGAGAATAATGTGGAAATATTTTGCATTCAAAATGCATTTCTGTAATGGCTATAAGGGCTAACACAAACATAACAATATTAAATAGACATGAAAAGAAAACACAAGATTGCTTAGTTCTTGATGATTTATTTAAAAATAACAATGTGCCAAAAATGTTGAGTTTATATGTGCTTAGAGGTCAACCTTGTTTAAAGACTTTGATCCAGCATTTTGATTCTCTATGAGCTTGGAAGATTCCTTGGCTTTGCTTAGTTCTCTGCTCTTTTATCCTTTAGGTAGATTTCATTTTTTTCTCAAACATAGTCATTTTGCTATAAATGGCTCTAATTATATTTTGCAAGGGTATAAATTGCTCTTTCTTTTAATTTATTTTTTTCCAGGCAAACAACTGTTGTTGATCTATCCTATATCCTATTGCTACCACCAAAACTTCCTTTACAAAGATGCTAAAATACATAAACCTATAAATGCTAAATACATAAACCTATAAATACATCCACATTACAAAACTGGCTGGAAAACAAGAAACCTGTTTCACAAGACAAGACAAGACTGTCAAGCCTCAGGCCAGAATGCAGACAGTCCACATTCTCACATTTTCCACATGGAAAGAGGAGACAGCCACCCTTGGGACAGACAATGGCTGGGAGGTCTCAGCACATGCCTGCAGGGGAAGACAGGCAGCTCAAGTTGCTTCAATGTGGATCTCTCAGAGCTCAGGTGTATTCTCTAACACTGGGGTCATCTCTTGGAATTACCTGTTCAAGCTCTTCAGCTTCACAGAAATGAGCTAATACTGACTCGTGGGGAAAGGCTCATTTAAGCAGAGGGATCTGCATTCAGCTGACTGCTCTGGTCTTTTCTCACCCAGGAGATTCTTCCAACAATCAGTGGAGACTGTATCAGTAGAATTATTATTAACAGAACCTTCCACATGTAACATTTAAAGCATTGTTCTTTGATTGGGAAAACATCAATAAAAACATTTACAATCAGCTCTATTATTTGGTCTCCAGGTGGCACAGATGAGGACATACTTCAGAATTCAGGCTCATAAATAGAGGTGAAAGGAGCATAATTCTCTGTGTGCCCTTGGTCTGACGGCGTATATTGCCACTGCCTAGCTCAGACATGCAGGGGGTTGAAGAGGATTGAGCTGCCTTTACATATTTATTTACTCCCATGCATTTGAGCATATCTGACTGGTGTCTGGAGTATATCTGGAGAAAATGCTAGCTGAGACGGCAAAGCCTTGGCTCCCCTGGCCACTCTTACCATGCCAGGCTGACTGAAGAGTTGCACAGCTGGAAATAAGAGACTTCATAAAGAAATTTGGAATAGGTTTGCTTCTTTTCCCATGTAGAAAGAGAAGGGAATAACAATAAATAAAAAGAGAGGCCAGCCTAGATCCTGCTGTTTGGTGAAAGGTGCGCTCCAAAACTCATTATGGGATCAAACATTCAGAAAAATTCTGAGGTCCAAAACTTAAATGAATGAAAAGGCAATAATAAAGACTGAAGAGAAACAGAGGTAGAGAAGCCCTCAAAGTAACTTTATCTTTTTCTAGTCAACAGTGTCAGACTATCAATTCAAGTATGCTGGACTACATATTTCAGGGCTCATCTTTTTATCATGTATGTGCAACTTTTATGTAATTGCAAGGAAAACCAAATCAAAACAAAACCCAGACTTGGAAAATAATTATGCTTTACCGGGAAACCATACAATACAATAATGTCAGTTAAAATGAATCATATAAAGGAAATCCATGTGTTCTTTATATAGCATGAGAGTCTCTAAATTATAGTACCTTTCAGGTTGAAACCTCGGCACTGAGTCAGAGGGTTTCCGTGTCTCACGTCTTGTTCTGAGTGTGCTTTAATGTGCTCTACTCTTGGCTCGAGTGAAGATCCTGTTTAGGTGAAGCATCTGTTGAAGCTTTAGAAAACAGGTGCAGTTTCTGTAGGTAAAGCAGTTGTGAAGTGGGGGTAGAGAGATGGAAGGACTGGAGGTGATACATGAAAGAGACCTCTGTTCACTCACAAAACCTAGCATTCAAAGCCAGAACCCCCAGCTGGAACTCTTCATAAAGGCAAGCAGCTGACAGTGAGATGCAGAAGAGTCATACTGCTCATATCTAACACACCAACACAAAATTACGATAAAGGGCATGTTCCTGCCTCGATTTTGGCAATCAAGGGGCTGGGAATACTGGCATTTCAGTCCTCCTCAGCTAGGAGGTCACAGCTTGCAGAATTCAGTGCATGAAAGGCTGGTACACAATCTTTTTATTAAGATATATTATTTTCATTGCTAAATATTGTGTAAGGTAGTTCAGTACTTATCAAGTTCAAGAAAAAAATATATTGGTGATAGATTGTTGCAAATGGACACTGTTGGGACATTAAACAGCTGTATTCTGAACTAAGGACTTGAGGATTAGAAACCGTAAGAAGTCCCCGGAGCTCCAGTACTGCTGAGTGAAGGGTGACACATCTATGGCCACATTATAGCAGGTAGTGCACAAACACCCAGAGAGAACACTCATAATCCCCTGTCACCTGAGCCTTCACGGCATCATTTGAAAAGGAAATATTTGAAAGGTGTAATTACTGACATTCCAAGTATAGTTTTTATGTTTACCATCAAAAATATTTCGTTTTATGCCTTGGGGTCTTAACCCTTGTGAACTATTTACATGAGTCAAGGGAGGCAGTGAAGAATTTCTGAGCGAATATCAGAGTACTCGTGCTACCATGAGCTGCTCCACGCTGTCAGAAATGGCATGCTGCTTGCATTAAGCAGTTCTGAGAATGTAAACTTAGCACTTAGATATTTATTTAAAAAAAAAAAAATGTGGTAGTTAGAAAATAAAGATAATACCATAAGGTGTTTTGGGGTAAATCAATGTTGCATGAGGAACTGCTGTAATTCACAGGAGACAGAAGTGTAAAAAGAAGCAAATAAGCAAATGCATACAGCAGAAACTACTGTCTAGACAATGGGATTTGGCTCTAATTACCAATGTTTTCTCCTTCATAATCTGTCTTGTTAGATAAAGAGACAACTTATTTCCTTCACATATGAAAACCAGAACTTTTTCCATACAGTTTGAGGTGTTTATTTTGGTTTGACATAAAGAGAAAATTGCAAGCAAAATACAGAAAGTAAGCCCCAGAGGAAATAACCCTGGGTGGGTGTGTATAATGGAGATGGCAAAGTGGAAACTGCAGAGGCTGGGTGTACCTGACTGCTCCTTGTACCTTTTGGCAGCTATGTTACTGCAGGAGTTAGGTGGCCTGAGACTTGGGGATTTTTCTTTCCTTTCCTCCCCCATATTCTGACCTTTGTTCCATGGAAGAAAACAATGAGTTTGCAGACTGGTGGCTGAATATTCTGAATGAAAGCAGTTAACAACCCCATGTGCTCTACCAATTGCTACGTGGCAAGTTTGGGCTTTACCTTGTAATCTCAAGTATGCATTGAGTCAAGGAAACTTTGCAGTAACAAAAACAATTGTCCAGGGGATGACTTTATTAGCAGCAGATCCAAGCTTTGCCTGTTTCTGTCAATTGTCTCTTTCTATGAGGGAAGTGCAATAAAAGCCAGTGGCTGTATGAGGCCTTCTGCACCTGCAGCTCAGGTGCAGGCACTGAGCACAGTCACAGGTTTAGGCTGGATGTCAAGTTCCTCATCCAGAAAGTGGCTGGGCACTGGAACAGGTTCCCCAGGGAAGTGGTCACAGCACCAAGCCTTGAAGAAGAGTTTGGGAAATGATCTCAGGCACATGTTGCAATTCCTGGAGTGTCCTGTGCAGGCCAGGAGTTGCACTCAATGGTCCTGGTGGGTCCTTTCCAACTCAGCATATTTCATGAATCTGATTCTAGAATATGCAATCTAAACCTCTTCTGGCACAACTTGAGGCTGTTTCCTTTTGTCTTTTTGCTTGTCACCAGAGAGAAGAGCCCAACCCCTGCTGGCTACAGCCTCCTTCCAGGTAGTTGTAGAGAGCGTACATCTGGAAGGTTTGTCTCCTCTGCAGTAACACTGCATTGTGTATTCTGTAGCTTTGTTTGTATATGAAGTGAAATCTTATTAAGAGAAGAGCTCACTACAGTCTTCTGCTATTAAATATTTCCCCTGGGAGGAGGAAAGAGACTCCTGATTTGCATAAAATTATGAGATGGACTATTAGTTCTGTTGTAAATTAAACAGAAATTGCTTTCCCTGTCTGCTTTAATAAACCTCATGTCAAAAAACTCAAATCCACAGGCATTACATGGAAATCACATTTGCCTAAAATTTTCCTGAAAATAATTCTTCTCACTTAGGAACAAATAAGGAACGAAAAAATATAAATGAGTTTATTCCTCAGACAGACTGAGAGATATTTTGGTGTATTTAGGGCTATCATAATTACATCCATGGTAAGTAATTGAATTTAAATGAAAGGAACAAATGTCTCACTGATTTTGTGTGCGTGAGACAGAAAGATTAATATTTATGATTAGGAACCATTTTTCTCCTTTTCTTTTTTTTTTCCATCCATTATTTAAATATGAAAAGCCAAGCTCTTTGCCATACACTCTTGCAGCACACAGTCCTGGGTGATGAATAACTCCAAGCACACCAGCTATGGGGATGCTGCTCATCAAAGGAATGACATCCCATTTCTCTATCACAACACTCCAGGCTATGTAGCAGAACAAAAACCATCTTCCCTGGAAAACTTCACCTTTTTCCTGTGGGATAAAACCTGGAGCAGGAGTTGCCATCCCAGGCGCAGTAGGGATCTCGGGCTAGGCAGCAGTCAGCACAGGCGGTCCCGTAGATGTGGCAGCGATGCAAGGAAACCTGGGTGACCCCTTCATCTGAGCTCACATACAACTGTTGCTGCAGGAGGAAATGGGAAGGTTTATTTCAGATGTGGAGGAGTTTCACCCAAGACCTGGCTAACACACCCAAAAAGCTTTTAAATTAATTTTGGAATTAGCTCAATACCAAGAAGGGAGCCAAAAACACATATAAAATCAAGATCAACAGAAATCTCCCAGGTGAACAGGCCTACATTATTTCCACCTTCCTGCTAGAAAACACCTAGAAACACTGGGGAATGTTAATGGTTTTTTGGACATTGAGTGTCATTGTTCTGCTCTGGGGCAGACAGGCTGAGTTAATATCGCTCAGATTTGAGAACTTGGTTCTTACTCAGTGAGGATTATTGGCTCAAGCCTTTGAACTAAGTATTTTCTCTTCACATAGTCACTTTAATAAATATTATGCAGAGTTCCTAGTTGGATCCTCCAGTGCATACATATCCAAGATGTAAAACCTAGAGATTATGTTGAGGCTTATGGCCAGATTCTGATAGCCTTATATACCTGGAAAAATAAGCCAAGAGAACTTCCACAATAAATCAGAGCTGTTGCAAGAGAAGTTCAAAGGGAGTAGGTCATTACCAAAATCTGGGCCAAAATGACTGTTTTACAAAAACAATTAATCATTCTAAAAATATAAATCAATATTGAATAAAACCGCTTGAAATTCCTTTGATCTTTTTATCATAAAAATGAAAAAGCATATGAAATTCAAGTCAGTAGTAGCTTTGCAAAATATTGAGCAACATCTTGTTTGCAAAAACATAAAATACACACTTTTAGCTTGTGTGTTAAGCATTTCAGCAGAAATCTTCTCAGCTGTTTTCATCATTCTTATTGCCATTATTTATTACTGCTAAACAAACATGCACAATTGCACCAAGGACCCAACACTGCCTTTTCACACTGATCAGACAGACTTCCAAAGTAAAAAATTTCTGTTTGGGACTTTAGAGAAAAAAATGAGGAGGGTGAATTTCCTCTTTTAGTCTTTTTTTGATTCTTTAATTGTAAATAGAAACAACCAAAAAACTGACACTTTCACTGACTTAGAAATGACATTAGGAATAAAAATTGTTTTATCCTAGTGGCTGAAGGGCATATAAACAGTTCCTGCACACTTCAGTCTGTACTCTATGGAAAATTCACCTTTATTTAGTGTGCTACACAAGAATTTCTATTCTAACATCTAAGTCAATTTGCTTCTCAGCTAGCAAGCACTAAGCAGACATTCTACTTTGCCTTACCTTTTTAGATGAAATCTTCATTGTTGTTATAGGAGAATTACTCTGAAAGACAGAATTACAAACCATTGTCAAGAATTCTGTCCCAAAATTAATATTTAAAAGTCACTAAAACCTAAGTTTTAGTGACTAAAAACCTGAAGAAAAACTATAAGCTAGAAAAACTATAAGAAAAACTATAAAAAAACCTATAACTATAAACATAAGAAAACTATACATTTTCATATCCTGGAAAGGGACCACTCACCCCTACCAGGTATTTCTATTTTCAGAACTAAACAAATGAAACATAGACAATCAATGTCTCACAAAATATATTGTTGAACCACAATATTATTACATGTATCTAAAAGGTTTTTGTACGCTCATAATTAACTTGCATCTGTGCTATCTCAGAAATACAGGAGCCATTACTTTTACTTTGTAATAAAAAACAATGTTTTTTCTTTAATTATGATAATAAGGAAAAATCATAAAATAGCTCATGAATATTTACCACATGATCTAGACAAGAATACAAAACTCTTTTCCTACAAATTATCTACCGTGAATATAGTTGGGCAACCATGCAACATATAAATTGAGATTATCATTGACTAGATTCTTTTAAAATGGCATAAGTGTTCTTGAATGTTTCTTTCCCAGAGACACTATACTACTGTGTGTCATCATAGCAGTCTATTAATGTCTGTGTCCAAATCAAATATTAAAGAGCTGGAAAAGGAATTGTTACTTTCATTGCCTTAAGTCATTATGTTCATCCAAACAAGTGATAAAATCGATGGTAATAAAAATATTCAGCATTTTTTTAAGATTCAGCATTTGCTCAGTCACAAAGGAAAGCCACAACAGCGGGCTAGGATTAACTGCAGTAGACCACAACACAGCAGGGAGGTCAGGACTAGAAAATCTGGCTGCAAATCGTGTGAACTGGCAAAGGTTTGGAGAAGTTTAGAGCTGCTTCATGAACTGTTTGGACACTGCAGGTCAGATGCAACATTGGATCTGGTGCCACACTCTGCTCTCCTCGTTGACTCTGGAAGAGGATCACTTCTTTGCTACCCTTGATATTAACGAGCACAGGGCTCATGATTTCATCCCTGCTCTCTTGGAGAGAGCATCTAAACACCGTGATGCCACACACCTTGTAACAGCAGAAGTTGTGATATCATGGTTTTTAGGGTTCAGGATAAAAAGGTCTGTGCGTAGAAGCCCAGAACAAGGTTTAGGCTGAGGATGACTCTCAGTCCACCTATCTTCCTGCTGCATTAATTTATGTTTCAGTAACTGGAATGGGCAATATCTTGATGAAGACTCTGGTTTAAGTAAACATGTATCTTTTTTAGTAGGAAATTTTCAATGAAATCCTAGGAAGATTAACTATGCCTTAATGAGTGTTAACACAGATACCTTTATGGGTGTTCCTTTCTTAAGGAAACTGTTAATGCTGCCTCAGTAAAGAAGCTTAAATTTTCCTTTTTTGTATTTTGTCAATTAAATTAATAAAAAGCCATGACAAAATCCTTAACTAAGTTTATAGATGCATACTACCATTTTCCCAGAGAGTACTGTTTAATGAATAGCCCATTCAAATATTTGAGAGGGATTTTTCATCATGAGGGTGAATATTTTCTTTAGGTTATTACAACTGTTACATGCCAGAGTGATTGACAGAGGCAATTCCTTTATCTCCTTGTAGTTTTTGTGTTTCTTTTCAGCTTATGTTGTTTTAGACTTGTAGCTTTCTTGACTCCAGAAGTATGTAACTTTGAAGAACAGGAGTTAAATAAAAACAACATTAATTTGATCTCATTTTGCAACCGAGAACCAGGAAGACTTTCAGATAATCAAAGAACAGAAATCTGAAATTCCAACCATACACAGAAACAGTCTCTATAGTGATGCCAATGATAAAAGCCTCCTTCTGGAAGCCATTGTAAGATGATGTCCTAAAAAACTGATTATCAAAATATTTCTAGCCAGTATATCAACATAAAAAATTGGCAATTGAAATACCAGAGAAGAAAAGGGCTTCAGGTAGCCATAGGCTTCATAAGAGTCAACATTTCATAATCCTCTTTACATGGTTATCAACCTGACAGCAGGCACATTTACTTGGTATTTTATCAAATCACAGCTGTTCTTGCCAAAGTCTGTTAGAACAACGTGTTTGTGTGAACACAGACATTGGAAAAACAAAAGGAGGAGAAAGCCAAACCTGAAAAACCTCCATCTCTTCTAAAATGAGTTCTCCACTTGCAGAGAAGTTGGTGGGTAGGACAACAACTTTTTGTACAGTTCCTTGATCTGCAATAGGTGAGAACAAGTGAGACCATATGACACAGAGAGGGAGAAATAAAAAAGCAGATGAACCTTCATTAATTATTAAAGGAAACCATCAAAACAAGGAGAAAGGTAAGAAATGTTCAGTAATTTCTGCAGTTTGGAGTCAGTAAGAATGATGAGATGATTCCTTATAGAGGAATACTATTATAGTGTTATTCTCATATATGAATATAAGTCATGGTAAGATTGGAGTTATTACCATTACTGTTACCATTTTATACAAAAAGATCAATCAAAATTAGTATGTTCTCTTGCTGTACAGACACAAAGGCAGAATCTTTCCTAATGATCTTAAGGTAAAATACAATACAAGCAGGTAAAAGTGAGCTACTGCAGGATGTGATATATTCATATCCAATAATAAAATGTTAGGAAAATTTATGACATGAAAGGTAAACTTTACAAAGTGTAACTCTATCTACACATAAACACAGTAAGATGAAAGCTTTTTTAAAAAATGAAATTAAAATAATAGTCAAGTACACTATATATTGGCAGGAGTTAATATTTTTCTCTGTAAGGTAAAAAGAAAAAGTTAGGTGAAGATATTTTAACTATTGTATCATGGCTTCCCTCTCAAAATACAGTTCCAAACCTCACAAATCCACTCAGAACAAAGGAGTAAGAAGTAGAAATATGTGGCAATGACAGTGTTTTTGCAGGGTAGATGTGATAAGTGAGACCAAAGGGAAATTTGTGATTAGTTTTCCAAATTTCTTATGTGGAAAGAATACGTAAGATGAAGGGGTCCATCTGTGAAGGCTCTTAAAGGCTGAGGCAGCCACTGAAGTATTTCTGATGTGGCAGAAGAGGCAGACTGTAGGATAATCACAACAATGAGCATTTCAACTTAGAAAAAGCACATAGAATTCCTCTTACCTGAAAGACCTAGAAATTAGACTGAGTAGAATAAATCTACCTGCTCAATACTGATTCTCAGGAATGAGAACACATGGGACAGGATCTGCTCAGCCTTCAAAAGTTTTAAGAACAATGTAGAGTTGTGCAGTTGGAAGAACATTAGCATAGCACAATATAGGCAAGTATCTACATTTATGGGGAAATTTCAGTTTCCTGTTTGGCAACTCATAATGAAGACAATGTAAGCTGAAAAAGTCGAATTTTATTTTTGCTTTAAGCTCAGTGACTAAATTCTCTAGCTAGAGCTGCAGGGTAAGGTGATTACTGTAAGTAATTTACATCTCTTTATTTCACTTGAAGAAGCCAGATACTACCACTACCACCACCACCACCACCACCACCACCACTACTACTACTACTACTACTACTTGTTGTTGTTATTATTATTACAAAAAAAAAGGTTTAAAGACAGAATACTGATATTTAATCACTTGACCACACACAGAGAACACATTACAGTATTTGGTCTTTAAAAAAAAGAAGGAAAAGAGAAATTGAAAGCTGACAAGACTTAAAAATGTGTAGCTATCAATGGTACATGCTCAGGGCAAGTTAGGCATGAATTTTTCATGAGAATTTCTACGGAGACATTTATTCTCATTATACAATGGCATGATAAAACAGTTCCTTCTGAAGAAACTTTACTGAAACTAAATCTTGTGATAGCACAGCTGTGGTCTAGCCTAGGTGCCAGTATTAGCAAAGCTATGAGAATCTGAGAGAGATTTAGTAACTGTCAGGATCCACTGAAGTGTTAAACTCCTGCAGATGCCTCCCTCAGAGGAAAGGAGAAAGGGCTTGTGTGTATTTCTTCTCCTGCTTAAGGGAATAACCCACTCACACATGCACGTGGCTTCAGCCCAGTCTACTTCTGCCTCGTTGCATTCTTTTATCAATTCTCTCTCTCTAACATTAAACTCCACCTTACAAAATACTCAGTCAGAAATGCAGGAAGGAATTGCAACCTTTTGGGTTGTTTTTTGCAGCTGCCTGCAAAATGTCAAGTACCTGTAACCCTGACAGACAGGGCACTAAGCATGTTGACAGTGACCTTACCTGCAAAGGAATGTAAGGCTGCTGAGCCTCTGAAGAACCGGTTTATGTCAATGATCCATTAGCACACGCCACACATTTAAAATTCCTAAATTGTCTTGAGTCCTCAAACATTTCACCAAACTGAAATCAGAACCTGAGAGGAGATTTTATCCTGGGCATTGGCACAGAAAATACTGATAATGCCTGACGCCAAGTCCTTGAGTCCTAATAACCTTTCCTATTTGTAAAGCAGGTTCCTATCTACCTTTTTGTCACACCCCAGAAAAATACACAGAGTGAAGGACTGTTTACCTTTGTATTAATCCCCTTTGACTCAGTATTTTACCATTTGCTTTGACTCAGTATTGTACCATGATAGACAGATCCTTGCAGAAAGGAATGTTCCATTGTTTCAAAGCAGACTTAAAACAACATTTACAATAAATATTCATGTAGGTAATAGAAAGCTATTGATTAAATGAAATTTCTTAAAGCAAGGGATTCTAATAGTCTGTACATATATATCTCTCTATATACACCTATATATAAACACTTCCAATAATATAAAGCCTATAGGCTATAGTTCTCCCATTGCTTCTAAAAGTATTCTTTCTACTGTTAGTCAGCCTCTTCCTTAATAAATGGAAAACAAATATTTGTCCCCAAACCCCACTTTTTATTTCTTTCTCAGCAGCACTGCTGTCTCCACTATAAACACAAATTTGTATCTGACAAATCAAGTCACTTAGATGTGTTCACATACAAAGCTTATGGTACATTTGAGTTTTGTCAAAAATATTATTTGATTATTTCTGCTAATGGCAAAAATGTGAACTAAATTCCCTGGGTCAGAGGAGAGGATGAATCACTGTGCACTGCAGAACATTTATGCAAAGCATTGCCTGAGCTGTTTCTGAGTTTATTTTACAATAGATAATATTTTATGCTGTAAATCAGGCATAAGAGATCATCAAACAAGTGCAAGTGAAATTTTTTCAAGTTTAGCCAATGTATGAAATTAGAAGGTAATCCTCTAAAATTCATAAAAAGGAACAGCATGGTTTTCTTTGCCATTTACTTGTTCTTTCCAGAAATCCACTTGAAAACAGTTCTCCACTGCTATGATTTTACATAGTCAAGAAAAAGCTGTTATGTCTCCAGAATATCAATCCGTCACTAAGAAATAAAGAGTCAGAATTTTGATCACCACTTTCCCAATTCCTCACTGGGAGCTGTTTGCAGCCTCGCATCAGCTCAGCAGTCTCTGAGTTAGGGGGAGATGGACAAACAAAAGAGAATCCTTCTCAAGCTGACAGCAAAAGGACAGGAGTGACTCAAAATGCTTTTCCATCTCAAACCTGCTTAACAAATGTGGGTGTCCCAGCTTGACATGAAAGACAATGACACTGAGATCACATTCCTTCTGAGAGGACTGAGAAACTGGGAACAGCAAGGGAGGAAAGTGCAGACCAAACAAAAGGTGTAGAATGTATTCAGAGTGGGAAATAAATGAAGAAGGAAAGCATTCCAATAAATGGAATGGAAACATAAGAGGCAAATCATCATAATTATAATAATATTTATTGAAATGCAAGGCATGATTCTGGACTGATATTAATCAGCTAAGCTTCATCAATATTAGTTAGACTGTGCCTGATTACATTAATTCCTAGTCTGCTTGACCATGGGCAATGGAAAAAAAATAAAGCTTAATGAACAGATATCAAAAATACAGAGTTTTTTGGCTGAATCAGAAGTTCTGAGTATAAAACTTATTCTCTGAATTTTGACTAGTTTTTATTTCCCCAGTTCCAAGTGAACACTGCAGCTGTCAGTAATGTGAGCCTCAAAGAGAGCCAGGACCCATTTACCCCTGAGCCACATCACATGGACAAACTGGACTACAAATAAAAACACCAAATTTTCCACATCATAAAAAACGACTGCAATAGGAACCAAGTTCTACTCTGACATGAGTTTTAAGAAACTTCTCTCAGTAATCCCCACCCCTGATGTGTCTGATACTGCTGGAGACCCTCTAAAAACTTTTCTTCATGTTTTACCTGTCAGCCTAATGGCAACTAATTATTTCTGGTCTCTTATCTGAGTTGATCCTGATGTATACAAATAACCTTATAAAGAAAAAAAGAAAGCAAAAAGTTGATAGAATGTTTGAAATGTCTGTTTGAGAAAACAGCCTCTGCTGAGGCTCAGCAGAGCACCTGAGAGGGTGGCAGGTTAGCAGTCAGGCCTGACAGCCACGTTCCCACGCTCTCTGTCTGCTGTAACTCAGCGCTCCCACCATGGCCACTAACCTCTCTGTGCTTGGTTCACTCATCTGTCAAATGGGGGTAATTTTTTTCCAGCTCATAATATCTCTGTGAAACTTCATAAAATTCAAGCTGCATCAAAGAACAAAGAGACAGATACAAATGCTCACACTTGAGAGCTAAGTTTTTGTATAGCCCTCGCTCAGTCAATCTTTTGGGACACAGGGTGAGCTTGCTTGAATAAAAGCTGAACAAAGGAAATGAAGCAGGTGGAGGTATAACATCTTAACTTACATATCATCTTAAAACTCTGTGAAAAAGCTTTGGATGAACAGGTCAGCAAAAGGTTATGAATGACTCAGGCACTATGACCAAGAGGAAGAAGGAAATTGTGTCTGACGCCTGTTGTGCCACTGTTGTGCAACATCATCTTCCCAAGCTCACAGTCACGAAGCAGCAGCCAGGAAAACTATGGGAGGCAAGTTTGCTCTTTTGACCAGATTATCTCTCTGTTAGAATCTGTAGATCATTTGGCTATTGCATTACTGGAGGCTACTGCTGTCAGCAAGGGTTACTTTTCCAAAAAGACTGCCATCATACAACACCATGAAAATGAGTATTACAAACTTATGCTCTGGAGGCACTTAATGCATCCAGACTTTGAAAACAAATGTTTCATCAGAGAAGGAAAGATAATGAGAAACATCGATCAGCCTCATGCCACATCAGATGCATGTGGCTGACATTAATCATCTCAATAAGCCACACTGAAGTCTGTAGTGCCTTTTTATGACAGTAACTCAGATCTCTTTCCAGAAAAACATATCATATCTTGATAGCAAGGAGCTGAAAAAAAATCCCATTGGTGCCCATAGCTATTTAATGTACCCAAATTTGACCCAGACATTTAAATATTTTCATAACAACAAGAGCAATAAAAAACCCCATGAATAATCTTTTGGTTGTGCAATTTGTGTGTACTTTGACCAAAGGCTTTCGAGCTGCAAGCAGTAGGTGGCACTTAATAAATGAAGATTAATCTCACAGATATGTTTGCATGATGTTTTTACTCCTGTCTTATAACTCAGAAAACAATATACCAAAGCATGAACACAAAATATCGAAAGCTCAGGTTTTTTTATGTATACCTGAAATGATTAAACAAATTACAGTAAAACCCTAGGGTGAATCCAAAAAACTCAGGACTGAGTCCTGCCCCATCACAGAAATAGAATAATTGAAACAGAATTCTAATCCCAAATTCTTGAACTGAATATGTTATTTCTCATTGCGTATGGAAAAAATACCATCAGCATTGCTGTAGTCAAATATGCATATGAGTGATTATACTCTTTCCAAGTAAATCATGTCTTGGGGTTCTGTTTGGGAAGACAAGATAGAGAGAGCACTCTCCTCTCGCAGCACTGCTCTCTGTCAGTCCAGACTTGCACCTTACTCCACCTCAGCTCAGCCCAGACAGGGGTGAAGAGACCCCTTAGGGGAGACCTAACAAAACTATCAAGTTTTGTGAAGTGCTTTGTGAGCCTTCATGTTTATACACATAGGAAAACCAGGAGATTGCAATCATTTGAAAAGCATGGAATGCCACAAGAACAGTGTCTGTCCCTGGGATTTATTTTGTTTGCTATGCAGGTAAACAAGGGAGAAAAGCAGTGCATTAACTCTGGCTATGGACCAGCACCTCTGAGCACAGAACTGCCCAAGGGAGCAAAGGAAACACTACATTTAGTTCACACCAAGGTGAAAAAATTACAGAGCTGCCTATACCCTCCTGTGCCATGGCTACATGATGAAAGCCACTGGGGTTGTTGGAGCTCTGTACTTCTGTTATTCTTCGCTTGCTTTCAGGAACTGATTTATTACTAAGGCTGTAGAGGAGGAAAAGAGGAAAAGCTAAACATTTTGTGTGCTTTGCATCTGGCAAGACATAAAACACTCTGATTTCAAGCATGAGACAGGTCACTGACAGTGACAGACATGGCTGGCAACATCTCAGTTCAGCAGCAGTAACTCATCATTTGAGCTGAGTGTAATTGTCACCAGGTGTCAAGTCCCATTGTCTGGCTGTGGGGCTCCAGACTCCCAAGGAAATTATCACATGAAATTCTCCTATACAATGTGGTTTTTGCATTTGCTGGGATGAACTGACACCAAAGCAAATCCCCTCTGCATTCCTTTTGACACTTAATATCTCTATCAAATCCTCCTGAGTCTCACAGAAACCAGAGAATAAAGAAAACAAGTTTCTCTTCTCAGTGGCTGAAACTTGATCACTTTTGTTTGAAAGGGCTGAGAAATGCAGTAACTTACATTGCAACCATTTCTTTGGAGGAAGACCTTGGAAGGTATTAATGTCCTGTGCCCTGCTCAGGAAGAATAATGCCTGCCCTCCATCTCACTAGAACGCAGAAAATGATCCTTGTCTCCAGTGTAAAGAAGAAGATAAAGCAATGAATATAAAGTATCAAGAGCTACACTTTTTGTATCTGATCCATGATGGGGCCAGAACACAGAGGAGGATTAACATAAGAACAGCCTGAGGTATGTTTATGTTTTTAACAGCTCACGCATGTCTATGAGGCCATACTGATCACCTAAAATCAGTCAGATGGTCATCAAAGGATAAAATGAAATTGCCTCTGTTTACCTCTTGCAGAGTTACTAAAATGTTTACTATCAAATTGTGATTTCAAGGACATTTCAGCTTTTCAATAGTTTTCTAGCTTTAACTATCATTGCTACATTAGCAATCTTTATAGTCTGGGAACTTGTGTCTCAATCTTTTCCTAGCTTCTACTGAAGCTTTTACTAAGCTTCAGCAGAATTTGCGTCCAAATAACATTAGATGCTTACAGAGCACTTTGAAACAATGGCATCACTATACATTGAAAAAAAAATAAAAATTAGCAAGCCCTGTCCTAATTGGGTTAATTTAGCAGCTTCCAACAGCTGCAAATAGGAGAGTCAAGAATGCCTTAAAACTCATTTATCAACATACAGTCCAGAAAACAGTAATACCCAGATCAAAAACTTATGAAATTCTTTGAATAATTCATTACCCTGACTATGTCTTATCATATACTAAGCATTCACTCTGCATCAGATGGAGACTTGGTAAAGGTTTAGTGGAAAAACATGAAATCATAGAATCGTTTAGGTTGGGAAAGACCTGAAGGAAGACATTGGGAGCAGCCACCAGCTGGCTGTGACTGCATTCACCCCTCCCTGGGCCCAGCTCTCCAGCCAGTTTTATCCCCAGTGAACAGTGCTCCCATCCAGGCCATGATCAGCCAGTCTGATCCCTGACTGTCCTGCACATGCCATGTGATGGCACTCAAAATTATCTGCTCCACAACCTTGTGCAGCCCTGAGCTCTGACTGACAGGTCTATAGTTCCCCACATCCTCCTTGTGGATGGCATCACATAACTTCCAATCAGCTGGGTCTTCCCCAGTTAGCCAGACTGTGCTAAATGATGGAAAGTGGCTTGGTGAGCACTCTGCCAGCTCCCTCAGTATCCTTGGGTGGATCCCATCCAGCCCCAAGGACTCATGTGTGTCTAGGGGGACAGAAGACATCTGGTTCAGTCCCACACTCAAAGTAAGTCCTATTAGAGCAGTTCTGTGTTTGTCAGGTTTTGAATCTTTTGAGTCTCTGAAGATGGAGAATTCATCGCCTCTCTGGATCCTTTTTCCACTGTTTGATCATGTTGATGGTAAAAACTTTTTCCTTTATATCTAACAAAACTGTCCCACATTGCAACTTGTGTGAAATTCCTCACCTTGGCACTGAGCACCTTGAGAAGAGTCCTCATCTGTTTTTTTCCCACTAGATAATGGTATCCACCCATTTGATAGCTGTCAGCAGCATTAAGGTCTCCCCTTAGCTTTTTTTGAATAAACCCGTTTTCTCAGCTTTTTCTCATGCATCATACAGTCCCTCCACTGATCCTGCTCCATTAGGTTAATGTTTTCTTTGTACTGGTGAGCCCACAGCTGGGCACAGTACTCCCAACAGGAGCCAAATACAGGGAAAAAATCCTTTCCATCAACCTGTTTGCTGGATACACTTCTGCATGCACAGCACAGTGTGCAGTTGGCCTCCTTTGGCACATAGGCACCCTGCTGATTTTGATAGCTGGAGAGGTTTTTCTAGGAAGAGTGAAGAGAGATACTTTCATTAAGTACTTTCTCTATAGAAGCCTGACATTCTTATGTGATTTTCTAGCACTCACTTCCTAAATCTATTATAACAAGATGGTTATTCCCAGCCCCAAGTGAGTTTGTTGGCAGACACAGTTATTCCATAAGCAGAAAACAATCAGGACCCCAATAATATGTGAACCATAAAAGCAATGCAAGACATCTCTGTAATCATTTTCTGATGTGCAGAGATAACATTTGTTCTTTAAAAGAACTCTATAGAGTTATTTTCCTTTGTTCTACTTGAAAGTAAAAAAAGTAAAAAATATTAGCCTTTGTGGCTATCAACTTCTAATGCCCTGTTAAACCAGTGGGAGTTTCAGATGTGAGAGAGTCCTAGGGTCTACTCAGAGTAGCACTCTACTTGTCTGCCTCAATCTAAAGCGTGTGCTTCATATCAGAATATTTTAAAAAACCCAAAATTGATCAGTACAAGAATCACTTAACCTGCTCCCTTGTAGACTTCAGACACATAACACCAGATTCAAATTGGATGTAAGTAAAACAGAATGTAGGTTATATTAGACAGAAATTATTTTAGAATACTTGGATCAAATTCTCTGTGTCCACTACTGCTAGGACTCCAACCATTTGTTTCTTTTTCTCTGCTAAGTACTTCCATATTACCACTGTTTTCTGAAGGAGTTGTTTCTGCCTTTGCAACATCTTGATCAGATTGTGCTTTTCTTCAGAAGCAGCTTACACAGCATATATTAAATAATGATGATGAGAGTATATAAAAACATTATAAAGCCAGATTTTGGTATTTTTTTCTTGTGCAAGAGATCATCAAAATCTAATGTGGAATCATATTGCAGACATACCATATTCAAGAGAAGTATTATAATTTTGATCAAATAAAATATGCACTGGTGTTGTTTTTTGTCTCAAAAATAAGATCAACACATTGTATCTCTCGCACATAATTGATGTCTATAGTAAATGGAAAAATGCACAGAAAGTATAAAAAACGTAATTCCTGGATTTCTATAACATTTCTGTATAGTGCAAACATTTACACAAATATTTCTGAAAGCTGTAAATTGTAAAAATCAGAGTTGATTGCAGATTACACTGCAACAGAGGAAAATGAATGCTGCCAAATTTGTCTCACCTGTTCCAAGAAACAAGACGTGGTATCTTCCATCAGCAGCATTCACTCGATCCACAGCAATCTTTGTGTACTTGTAGTCAGCTCCTATCCTGATGATTAATGGCCTCTTGTGTATTGGGTAAATGGGATTAAACATCAAAGGGTGGTTCCTAATGAAGGTCACAACATCGTCTGGAAACTCTTTGGTTGTCCGCACGTTGGGTGTGAAGGCTCCTCCCGGACACTGCAAGAAACGTGCACGGAAATGGTGAACAGCACTTACCACCTTTCAGAGAGTTTTCATCTCCACATCATTTACAAATATGGACAGATAGCTGACAAAGGAAATTCCAAAAAATCACTTCAGACTTGGGTCAAACTTACTGTATTCCAGTAAGGGCAATGAAGTGTTGAATAGCTACACTTTGAACTCCCATCACTTCTGATAAAACAACCCAAAATATATTTTTGCATTTTCAAAATCCAGCTTGATGGCAAAGATCTCTAATTCTGAAACTATTTCTACATGTTTTATGCTTCTAAACTGCCTGCTGAAAAAAATAAAAAAAATAAAAAAATCCAAAAGATTGGTACAGGAAGATACCAAACTTTGGCATGTGATTTTTACAGAATTAGTACAAAGGCAGAAGACAAAATCTGATACTTAATTGTAATTTGGCCAATATTCCTCTTGATTATAAGATGATGAAAGGGCCTGTTATTCATCTTCATGTGAAAGAGCAATAATATGGAGTTAAGGAGGGAGTCCCATAACAACTTATTTATATCTGAAAAGGTTTTCTATACTTTCCCCTATGCCTGAGAAGTAACTGAAGCCCATGAATACTTTGGATGCTTCTTTAAATATAATGAAGAACTATCCAAATAATCATCCCTGAGTCATTCTGGGCCTCATGAGAAAATATAAGCCATCTTAGAAAAGTCTTTATTGAGTTTGAAAATAAAAGGAAATTTTGAAGAAATCTGAGCTATATCAGTAATTTGTACAAAGTTCTGGATGTATCTATGTTAATTTACTTGATTTTTTTTTTCCCAGCTACCACTACCTCATTTCTTATTGCTGCTCCTGAGTTTTCATTTTTTTCCCCTAACCATATTTCTGAGCTGTGACTCTCCTCAGAGTACTGGAGAGATTCAGAAGTGTTTCAATGCAGTATTTTTTCCAACTGGAAAATGATTGGTTCAATAAAAAGTACTTGATAGAAATTTGTTTATTTTGACAAGGGCCATTCTTGCATTTAGGATGGAATTTCTGGTCAAAACCACAGACACAAAATAGCCAGTAGCTTAGGGAGAGATTTACCTCACCTGACTTTTACTCTCTTAAAGTCAGGCATCTATTCTTAGGTTTCCTCTGTAGTCAGTAATTCGGACTAAACACCCTGCTTTTAGATGGCTTAAATTACATAAAATGAATCATATTCTGAGAGACTTGGAAACTGTCTGGGGAAATGTGAGTCATGTGTCCAACCTACCTGACGAGATGCAATGTTAGAATTTGGGTCTTCACCTCCCGGGGCATCCCCATAACCACAGGCAGGAGTGTAACCACAGCCTGCTCTACCCTCACTGCTAAAGCTGCTCCATATTGTGCACCCAATTCACTATTCACTGGCCATACCACAAAACAAGTAGAGAGGGGACTTCAGCCTAATCACAAGCTTTAGAGTCATCTCCTGGCTCAAACAGGAGTTAATTATTTATACAAAGTAGAACAGCTCTGGTAGGAACTCTTTAAAAGAAATTGCTCTGGCATCAGTTCCCTCCAGGAAGAAGAACCAGAACTCAGGTCAGACATGGGTTGTTTCTCTCAGCTGACATCCTTGATGATTTATTTTTCTGAGCTCATATTTATCCTAAGGGTTTTGTTTTGGCTCTCATTAGAAATGATGCTATATGTTAACACTCTAAGGCTGCTCACAAAGGAGAATTTTTATTATCTTGCTTGCTCTACCCTCTCTGGAATTTTCATTCACATTCCAGAAAATGTATGGAACTATCTGTTAAGATTAGCAACAAATGCTTAAAAAAGAACTGCATTCATCATTAGCAAGATTATTCTACTTGGTAGTGCTCTGCCAGACCCTATTTCCTTTCAAGAGGGATTCTGTTTCACAAACAGTTCAACTTAAACCTTCCTGTCTCACATAGCTCAATTAAAAGCCTTTCTCTGATACTTTCAACCCTTCCATTATTGACTTGGAGTCATAAGACTTTTGTCTGTGACTTCTTGCAAAAATGTCTGTGCTATGATTCACACCAGCATGACCCTAAAAACTTACATTATATCATTGTTCCGAGCAAAGCCTTAGCAAACATCTTTAATCAATTAATTCTTTTGCTAAACCAGTGACAAGCAAAAGATGATACTGAAGAAACCCATAAGCTCTCCCTTTCCTGGAAGGATTGAATGGGCAGCCTTCACAGCTCATTTGAGAACTTGTCTACACAATTTTATGTTCACAGTCGATTATCACAATTCTTTAATTTACAGCATATTCCCCAATATGATGTAGGTACAAAAACTATTTCTGTAAACTCTGAAAAATGGAAACTACCCTCAAACATCACAGAGTTCAGTAGCAAGCTGCCAATTATGTATTTTTTTTTTCCATAAGTAAGTTTTGCTTGTGGAGAAATAAGAAACCACTGGTATTTAGTGAAGGCCAGCCAAACACTGCCGAGTTGATCATGGCCAAAAGACTGTATTGCTTTATTTAATCCTACTCAAGCTACACTGAAGCCTGTCCATTGTTTATCCAGTGTACAGCAACAAGAGGAACTTTCATTTCTAGCCAGAGGTTTAGTATGAATATCTCCTTAGGCAACTGCAACATAGGATTTTCCATGTCATATAAAAAGGCATGCCTCTCTAGTCCAGCATCCTTTTTTTTGGCAGTGAAATAAAAGAAAAGCCAAAGAAATTCCATCTTAGAAAATATGACTTAGGGATACTGTGTTGTGGCTGAATCATGAGGAAGCACACAAAAGCCAGTGATCCAAAAACCAGCAATGGTCATCTAAAGGACCATTCTCTATGAGCTATGATTTAAGAATTTATCTTCAAATTCAGAGCTCATCAGCATATTTGGAAAGTGTAAATAACTTCTGTCACCATGTAAAATCCAAATCTGATTTTTTTCCCCCTTTCTGTTGTGTTGCCCAATTTCTTTAGGCCCATCTGGAATACCGCAAAAGCTTCCATAACATGAACCAAGAAAAACATGGCAGTGGGTGAGGAAACACATACAAACAAAATACTCTGAAGAAGGAAGAAACTTTGAAATGTGACTAATCACAAGGGTGTGAAACTTCCTGTTCAAATGGGTCTTTTTTTAAAAGCCCCAGTAAACTCATGAGATTAGAGCTGTATGAATTAATTGCAAGGAAAGACTAATGCCAGCATTAGAGCTTAGTGGTATGTCAGGTATTGATTAGTTAATTCTAGAGATCTGGGAATGTAAAGTCCTAACTCTTAAAGCCAGAAACAACTGCATTAAAATGTCATGAAGAATTGTGTGAACGGGGAGAGCTATTCCATGTACCTAGCTATTCCATGTACAAGAAAGAAAGAAAGAGATAAAAAGGACAAGATTTTGCAGTATAAAGACAAATCAGACTAAAATAGTGATATGGCTAAAGGTTCTCACAGGGACTGGCAAAACTTAAATAAAATTTAATTTCCTGTGATAAACGGAAAAACA